GCTGCTGCTTTTGCTGCTGCTGCTTTTGCTGCTGCTGCTTCTGATGGTGGTGGTGATGGTGGTGTTTTTTCCCCAACTCAGAACTCAAGTCCGCAGACTCCTGCTGTATGTGCTTCTTTCCCTTCTCTTTCGCCTTTGACTTCTTTTCCTCCCTATGTTTCTTGCCTTTCTTTGCCTTCTTTGCACTCCCATCCCTGCTCTGCTCCTTCTCCTCCTCTTCCAATTCCTCAAGCACGAGACTCGGCATGCCCTGACGCCACGACAAACCCCGGCTGTTTCCGAGGGAAAGAGAGGAGATGGACGTGAGAGACGGGAGCGAAAGAGGAGAGGGAGGCATTACACCCCGCGTGCCTCTCCCCCCTCCTGCTGCTGCTTCAAACGCTGCAGCAGCTGCTGCTGCTGCCACTACGGTTGCTGGGGACATAGCAGAAGAGGAAGAGGAGGCGAGGCGGGAGCGCGGGGAAATGGTGTTGCTCCAAGCGCTTGGGGGGAAAGGGCGACAGGGAGACGAGGGGGAGGAGGGGGAAGGGTAGGCGGCGGGGGAGAGGGACGATGGTTGGAAGCATGAGGGTCCGGCACTTTTGTAAGGAAGGAGGGAGGTGACGTTAGGATTCTGGTACTGCTGTTGCTGCTGGTGCTGTTGCAGGTGTTGTTGCTGATATTGGTTATGGTAGTGTTGCTGTTGCTGTAGATGTTCCTGTTGCAGTTGCAGTTGCAGCTGCAGTTGCTGCTGCTGTTGCTGTTGCTGTTCCTGCTGCCGCTGGCGTTGGTGGTGGGGCATGTGCATGTACTGAGACAGGCCGATGCCGTGTCGAAGGCTCTTCTGCGACAGAGACGGCGGCGACACACCAGTGCTGCTCGCTCTGCCTAGCACGCCGCTTGCACCGCCACCACCACCAGAAGCAGCAGCAGAAGCAGCAGCACCCATAGCAGCAGCAGCAGCGATGGGAACAGCGAGCATGGACGAGGCAAATCCAGCAGGACGCAGCCCAAGAGGGGACCGTCCTGCTGGGTGCCTGGGGATAGGTACAGCGTCTAACTGCCTCTCAGGTTCACTCTTAGCCTTGGACAGCCACCGTGTCTTGCTCCTACTGCTGCCCTTGCCCTTGCTCTTGCTGCCTTCGCTGTTGCTCGCGCCGCTCTTGCTCTTACCGCTGCTCTTGCTGCTGCTCTTGCTCTTGCCCTTGCTGCTCTTCTCCTTACTGTTGCTCTTCTCTCCCGTGATCTCAATGCTATCGTCGTTGCACTCGCTCCTCCGCGTATTGCCCGCAGATAACACCTCTTCCAGACCAGCCTCCCCCAGATAAACATCCCCCACGCCCCCAATTTCCCCAGGCACTACGGGTTCTTCTGAGAGGATGTCTTCCCATCCGGCTACATCCTGGCTACAGCTGGATCTGGACCGCCCTGCCCCACCGCCACCTGCAACAGCAGCAGCAGTGGCACCACCACCAACACCACCACCACCATCACCACTTGTCCCTGCACCTGCAAATCCGCTCCTGCCACCAACCACGGCGCGACAGCTGGCAGAGGAAGCAGGAGAGAAGACGTCTGGAGAGAAAGGACCAGAGGAAGGTTGGGGGAAGGTCTTCGTGTTTGGGATAGGCGCTGCTGACAGGTCTTCGTGTCTTGCTGCTTCTCCTCTTGCTGCTGCCGCTGCTGCGGCCTTTGCTGAAGCGATAGTGGCGGCGGCAGCAAGGGAAGAGGATTTTGGGCGGTGGCGGGATGTGGATATGGCAGACGAAGGGGAGGAAAAATTGGCAGAGTAGGAAGTGTGGGAGGAAGGAGAGATGATTGGCGAGGGGAGAAACACGGAAGAGGAGGGTGAGGAGGGGTAGGAAGCGGAGGGAGGGAGGGGGGAAGAGGCAGCGATAGAGGTGGAGTGAGGAAAGGGAGGAGGGGCAACAGCAGCAGTGGAGCGAGAGGAGGGGGAGGGAGAAGGGGATGGGGAGGCGAGGGAGGAAGGAGCGATGCTAGACATGCTTGGAACATGAATGCGAAGTGACTGCCACCGCTGGGCTAGAGCCTTGTGTGATGCTGCTGCTGCTGCTGCTGCTGGTGCTGCTGCTGCTGTTGCTGCTTGTTCCCCACGCGTTCCTATCTGTCCATATCGTGCCACTAGAGTCCTCACATTCCCATCCTCTAACTCTGCATCTCTATAAATCCCTGCATACCAGCCTGTGCCACTGCGTTCCTCCCAGCCTGCTTGCATACCTCGCCCCATACCTGCCTCCGCACCTGCATCCGTACCTGCATCCATGCACATCCCAGTCCCCTTCCCCTGCTCCACCCCTTCTCCCAACCCCACCACCTCCCCTTCCTCCTCCTCCCCATTGCAACCATCCCGACCGCTGCTCACTGCACCAGAACGCTCCCAATCTCCACAATCTCCTCCCTTGCTGCTGCCTTCCCTACCCCTTCCCTCACTGCAGTCCTCCCCATCACCACAACAGTCCACTAGTAGCAAGTCAGCAATACCTTCACCAACCACACAGGAAGGAGACTCATTCAACATGTGCTCTTCCCGAACCATTTCCATTCCACCAGTCCATCCCATAACCGCATTCCCATCTCCATACTGATCCCCATCCCCATCCCCAACCCCATACCCATCCGCGTCCCCATCCCATTCACTGCATGAGTCCAGAATGAGCACGTCTGCATCACCTCGCACCACCACACGGCCCTTCTCCACCATGCCATCATCAAACACATCACTGAACGCATCTTCAGCAGCAGCATCAGCACCAGCAGCAGCATAATAATCCTCAGCAGCGGCATAATCACCAGCAACAGCAGCAGCAGCAGCAGCATCCCACCGGCCTCCTCCCCAAGGGGCCTCTATCCACCCCAGCCCTTCTGTCTCATTCTCTTCCGCATGCACCTGGTTGGTTCGACCCATGCTCCCAACCCCAGATTCCCTGCCCACACCAGCAGTAGTGGCAGCAGCAGAAGTAGCATCAGCAGCTGCTGCTGCGGCACTAGCAGTGGAGGCAGAGAAGGATGTTGCGCCGCGCCTTTGCTTCTGACCGCCTGCTCTCTTGCTGCTGCTGCTGCCGCTGCTCGCTGTCTTCACACGCCGTTCACCTTCCGCCCTGCTCCCGGTCCTCCCTCCCCTCCCGCTCCTGCTCCTGCTGCTCCTGCTGCTGCTGACGTTCCGTGATGGGGACTGGGGATGCGAGAGGGCTTGGATGTGGGGATTAGCGGCACGTGGATGCATGTTGGTGCTGTCTCCTGTTGAAAGGCCGACGCTGGTCACAAGGGGGGATTGACATAAACGAGTGGCAGTACCAGCCGCAGTGGCTCCTGATTTCGTCACTTTCGCTTTGGTCACTCCGCCTTTAGTCACTCCCCCTTTACCCATTCCTGCTTTAGTCACCGCTGCTACAGCAGGAGAAGCGACCGAGGAAGCTGAATCCTCAGGCAGCAAGAGAGCATGAGAAGGAAGAGGGGAGGAGAGGGAGGAGGAGGAGAGGAGTGAGCACCGCACAGGAGCGCTTCTCAGTAGCTGGGGAGCAGTGACATTAGTCAAATGATCATTAGCGCACTGATACTGCTGCTGCAGTTGCTGATGCTGCTGCTGCTTCTGTTCCATCCTCTCCGCCTGGCCTCCTGCTCCCCATACCTTACCTCCAGCGGGCCCTTCCCTTCCCTCTCCTGCTTCCTCTCCTACTCCCTCACCTGCTCCCCCTCCTGCTCCCTCTTCTGCCTCCCCCTGCAGCAAGGGCTGCACTCGCCTCTGTTTCCCTTCCCTCCCCTCCCCCTCACAGTTTATCATCCCAACCGCGCAGCTCTTGCTCCTGCTCATGCTATTTCTGCTGCCGCTCCTGCTCTTGCTGCTTCTCTCAGCATTGCTGCTGCTAGTGCCGCTCGTTACATTATCAATCACGTTGTTGCTGCTGCTGCTGCCGCTGCTGTTATTCATAATGCCAGCGGTGCTCTCTGTGCTGGTGCCAGTGCTAACGCCGGTACAGGCAATGCTAATACCATTCTTTCCTCCTCTAGACACCCCTTTCCTGCTCTTGCTCTCCCGATCCTTCCTCCCCGTCGCCTCCACCCCTTCCTGCTCCCTCCGCTCTTCCACCCCCTCTCTCACCTTCGTCCCCCCACCCCCCTCCGTTCCCAGGCCAAGAGGGGTTTCCCCTGCGCGTCCCTTCCTACGAGGCGTGCCTTGTGCGGTCCCTTCCCTTCCAGGCGAGTGAGCAACCTTGTGGGATAAATCTGAAACGTGTGAGCGAGTGTTTTGCACGCGAGGTGAGTGAGCAACCTTGTGAGACACATCTGAAACTTGTGAGAGCTTGTTGTGCGGCCGAGGCGAGTCCGAAACTCTCTCCTGCACCTCCAACTCTCTCGCCTTCCCCCCTATGCTTCCCGCGCGTCCCTCTCTCCCCTTATCCTTCCCCCTCCCCTCCCCTCCTTTCCGCCTTCCCCCTCCCCCGACCTCTTCCTTCACCCCACACTCTGACTCTTGGCGTGTTCCCCTCTCCCTTCCCTCTCGCTCCGGCTCATCACCTCCCTCTCCGCTCATCACTCCCAAAGCCTCTTCGTTCCCCAGGTTGCTATTATTGCTGGCTGTCCGACATTCCGTATCCTCCGGGCATGGCTTACAGACACGCGTGCCGCCCTCCTCAACCCGACCGTCGCAAGGCGTCGCAGGCCCGCGAGTAGTACCCATCGCTTCGCGAACCGCTAGCGAATTGTGGCAATTATGACGTCGACTGCGACCGCTGCTCTAGTCTACAGCAGCTCTGCGCAGTTCTCGCTGGAGTAACCTCATCGCATCGCATCGCATCGCATCTCATCGCACATCTCGTCTCTTATCTCGGTTCGGCCCTACTTGCGCCATTTCGACGCTTCAGTCAAGTCAATAATCGAAAGGCGAACATGAAAATCAAGCTTTTTATTATTAATTCGGTGTATTCCACACGTCGCGCTACAGCAAGTGAATGAGACTCTGCGTTGCGTTGCCTGCTTCGGTACGAACAGCATAATCCTGGACGTGTGATCATCTCTTAACCTAAGCGACCCGCCACGTGGCTTCTGACATCGAAAGTCACCTGTTTCCAACTAATCTCTTACTCGTGTTCGAAAACCATAACCTGCTCGAGTGGAACCTACCAGGCGAAGCAAAAAGGCCGGACGAGGGGGGGGGGGGGGAGGGTTGGGGGGGAGGAGAGGGAAGGGAGTTGAGCAGTCTCACATACAGTACAGTACAACAACGTACGAACACTGGCAATGGCAGGCACTCGCAGTTAGGGCGCGTGTGGTCTGTTTAAAATTTCAAAATAAAGTTCGAACTTTGGATGGTTACCCTATTCGCTAATTTCGCGAAGGGTGCTTCGCGAGCCAAGCATTGTATGGGCTCTGCAAAAGTTCGAGTTTGAAATATGAACTTGACTCGAGTCGAAGGCGCGAACGTGCGTGCGCACGTTCATGCGAGCGTGTGTGATTTGCAGCACGTCCGAACAGCTGGCGAAACTGGCGAGCGCTTCGCCAGTGCATGAAGTTGCACAACGAAGACACCCCACAATTCGTGCACACAGTTGTAGCCACGTGTCGAGCATAAAAGGTGTTGCCACGGGGGCTATTTGTACCCTGGTTACACACTCGGCGCGGAAGGTGAGTTGGAGCTCTAGGTCCTTGTAAACCGAGGCGCAAAATGTTGACGTGGCGCACCGTCAAGACGAGCGAACCGGGTAACCTATGATGTTGACGTGCGGCTCGGCTCGTTTTTACAAGTTCGAATGTCGGGGTTCGACCTTGTATGTGTGTGTGATTTTTTACAGTGTGGTAAGCCCAATGTTCGAACTTCGATAGAAGGAAATTCGAACTTCTTTCGTTGTAAGTTCGAAACTAAAATTCGCCCTAAAAACATAAACTTTTACAAATTTCAAAGACCTCACGCGCCCTTATCAAGGTTTCCCAATGCTGTAATGCATTTCCTAGTGCCGTTCGGAAGGTTTGAGTGCTAAGTAGCGGCAGGGCAGCCTGCGAAGGACTGTCGTCGAATCGGGGGCGTTTACTGGTTGTATTCGTTCAATTCGATAAATCGTTCCGCTGCCCTTTGTGGCCCTCCCTCACTCCCCCCTCACCCCAGTTGGTGCTGTATTCCCTTGACATTCTTTGGATGTGCCCGTCGCAGACTCGCACGGGCTGTCGTAAGAGAAACTGCTGATCATTGCGACGGTCGTAATTGGGGCGTGCGGGAGCAAAGGTGTATGCAATGTCGCGAACCCACAATCTGCAACTGAGCGCACATCTAGAAGGAATCTCGTGATAGGCGTTACCTTGTAAGTAACCAAGATCGGTACGCGAAGCTCTGCGATCTCGTGTAACTACAACGGGAGGATCCCCACGTCTACGTCATACGTTCGAGCGTTTCTGGACAATCCACTGCACTGCAAGATTTGCGTGGATAATTTCCGTACCCGCCAGCTATTGATTTCTACATAATGAGATAACCTAGCTAGATATGCTTGGCCCCTAACCACAGGCACTTAGTTTCTTCCTATTTTCATACCTGCGATTCCAATACATTGGACCAACCTAGGTCAACGGAGTCACCCACCTCGGTCACAGCCTACCTTCAGCTGCTCTTCCCCAAATGTATAACACAGCAGTTTTACACCCAATCCGAACCATAGCACCCTCATCGTTTCCCTCGGAACGGGCTGCTCAAGGCATGAAAACATGCGAGGGGAGTGCATGGCCCTACCACTACCCAAGCAGGGATTGTAACGAGAATGCAGGGCTCAACAAACCCTTCAATAGTTTATTCTGTCCGGAGCCTCAGTGTCTTGTGTGGTTTTGTAAGCTTGAAACTGGTTGAGTCATGGTGCTCTGGGGGTGCATGAATCCTGACCGTTGCTGCTGCTGCTGTTGCTGCTGCTGCTGCGATAAATGCTGCTGTTGAAACTGAACCTGCTGCTGCTGCTGCTGATGCTGATGCTGCTGCACATGCATCGAAGCAGCTGCGCCCGCCATTCCCATGCCACCAAACCCATCCAAATCACCATGCTGCATGTGCATGGGTTGGATCATAACAGAGCCCTGCATGCCAGACCCTGTCGGTCCCACTGACATGTCACTAGACATCCTATGCCTCACAGGCTGTGGAGAATGTCCCATGGGTACTCCTCCTGCCCCTGTTGCTGCCCCACCCATCCACTCAAAATCTGCCGCCATACCTGTGCGCCCCCGCTGGTATGGTAATGGCATGTGCATGTGGTTGGGACTTACAGCAGAACTCGACATGCTACGCGGAAAACCTGCCACTCCGGCCAATCTCTGCTGCATGTGCTGCTGATGCTGTTGCTGTTGCTGCTGCTGCTGATGTTGATGCTGCCGCTGCTGCTGCTGTTGCTGTTGCTGCTGTTGCTGCTGCTGTTGCTGCTGCTGTTGTTGCTGCTGTTGCTGCTGCTGTTGCTGCTGCTGCTGTTGTTGCTGCTGTTGTTGCTGCTGCTGTTGATGTTGCTGTTGCTGTTGAGAGTAGTCCAGCATTGCTACCCCTCCTGTAGCAGACGGTATGGCAAAGGAACCACCCCGTACCGAACCCGACACACCTGCACCGGCCTGCGGCCCTAATGTGTGCCCTTGCTGCGGCGACCACCGACCAGACGCAGCAGGCCGAGCAAACCCCAACCCTTGCTGCTGCTGCTGCTGCTGCTGGGGCTGTTGTTGCAGCGGCGACTGCTGCTGATGCTGCTGTTCATGCACCTGCACTTGCCAGGAGTTCTGAGCAGGAACAAGAACAGGCACCCCTGCCGCTCCCCCTCCTCCACCCCCTCCTCCCTCCTCCGCCACGAAAGGGTGAGAGAGTAGCTCTGTGGCGGTAGGGCGCTGGGAGGGGCTGTGGCGCAGGCAGCGCAGTACAAAGTCCTTGCCCTCGTGGGAGAGGGTGTCTGGGATGGCCGGCAGGTCTCCGTTCTTGAGCTTGAACACAAAGGAGAACTGGCGGGAGAAAGACGTTGGGAGGTAAGCAGGACGGGAGGGTAGGGGAGGGAACGTGGGCGGAAGGGAAGGGAAGGCGTGGAGAGAAGGAGGCAGAAATGGGGAGGAAGGCATGGGAGGAAGAAAGGCGCTTACACAGATTCTCAATATGCCAGTTGGTAATAAGGCATTAAGAGGTGTGAGGTCATGCCAGCAAGAGAAGCATGAAATCCCTTTGGTTTAGTCAACCGTCCCTGCCACCTTAACTGATCACGTCCTTAACCCTCTCCCTCAAACTCTTAACATCTCCTCTCCTCACCGTCTCGCTCTCTTATTGCCTCCCAACTCACCCCCTCCAAGTGGCTCCAGGGCGGTTTCCCCTGAGCCATTTCCAGCACTGTGCAACCCAGGCTCCAGATATCTGCAGGTAGACCGTATCCACCTGAAACTGCCCCCAACACCTGACAATACACATGTACGTGCGAGCACGGGACAGGGTGAGGGCGCCGAATATAGAGGCGCCTCAAAAAGGGTTCCAAAGACATGACAGCACATATGCACGTGTGAGGACAAGAGAGGGTGAGGCAGCGAGAGGGGAGGAGGACGGTGAGAGAGTGGGCATGTACTGAGATACGTGAAAAGGCCCTGTTGGGGGGTGACAGGTGAGGCTGGGAGGAGAGGGACAGTGGGGGTGGGGAGGTGGGAGCGTGGTGGGGGGTGGAAGAAGGTGGGGAGTGGAAAGAAGGTGGGGAGAGAGGGTACCATTCCAGTTTCTTGTGAGGGTTTACAGGAAAGTGAAAGTGAAAAGAGGAAGGAGAGGGAGGAGACGGAGGAGAGGGGGGAGAGGAAGGAGCAGCAGGAGCGGCAGGAGATGGAGGGAAGGTTAAGAGCAGGGTTAGGTAGGTAGATACCTCTGGAGCCATCCAGTAGGGGCTGCCCTTGGTAGAGCATGCCATCATGCTACGGTCCAACTGAGTTGCCATGCACGCCACACACACACACACACACACACACACACACACACACACACACACACACACACACACACACACACACACATTGCGAGCCGCAGGGGAGAGGGGCGGGAGAGGATATATTAGGGACCTCAAACAGCCATGCTGCGTCCAGCTGAAATGAAATGAAATGCCGCGTTTAGTTGGATGTGTAAGAGCAAGTGATGGGTGAGAGCAAGTGATGGGAGGGAGCAAGTGATGGGTGGGAGAAAGGAGGTGCGGGAGTGGAGAAGGGGGACAGGAGGGCAAAGGGGAGGGGCGGGAGGGGTTGGGGGAGGGAGAAGGTTCAGACAAAAGGAAGAGGAGAAGCATAGTGAAGGAGAGTGAAAGAGAATGAGCGGGATTGATAGCAAGTGGGGAGAAATAGGACTTTGGGACACACCGCAGCTCAGAAAATAGTGGTAGGAAGGAATGGAAATGGTGCAAGGTGTGTGGTGCACAGAGGTTTGAGGTGCATGGTGGTATGTGGTTTGATGCAGTGGTGTGCGGTGGTGAGAGGTGGCCCTACATTCTTGGCCATGCCAAAGTCTGCGAGCTTGACTTGACCCAGGGAGTCCACGAGCACATTGGCGCACTTGATGTCCCTGAGATGTGCCGTGCATACACATACACAACACACATGCCACCGTGCACACATGCAGGCATGGACGGACACATACACACATGCATGGTCACATGAACGCATGCACACACGCAGATATGTACAGGAGCAGATATGGGAGGGAAATGAGTGACCAGTCAAGCTCCTGACATAAACAGATAATTTACGTATAAGCCATGCATGCAAACCCAGTATGAACATTGGGAACATTGGGAAGCAACGGGGAGACAAGCAAGGCAAGGGGGAGAGAGACAACATTGGGATGGGTGTCAAGAGGAGGAGGTGGAGGTGGGCTGGGGGAGGAGAGGGTGGGGGAAAGGAAGGGTAGCAAAGGGCTCTCCTTATCTGTGTGGTTTGTCAGCAGCTATTATTTTCAAAAAGATCCGTCCCTTTCTCTTGGGACTTACACAGTATTCCCGTCCAGCCATATGTGAGCAGTGGCTAGTAACACAACACAACCAATCCAAAAGCAAGCCAGGACGTCATGCATACAAAGGTGCGTGAATCTGACGTTCTGAACTGAACCGCTCTTACTTATCTTTTCCCTTCCCCGCGCATCCCTCCCACCCACACCCTTCCGCGTGCCCCCCCACATGTGCATAGAGCTCTGCATATGCAGGTAGACGAGCCCGTGCGTGCAGGATCTAACGACTCTGACGTTCTCAACCGCTCCTACTCCCCCCTTCCCTGCCATGCGCACCCTCCCGCCCCCCAGCATCCCTCGCACTCCGCCCACCTGTGCATGGTGTTCTGCATCTGCAGGTACGCAAGCTCGTGCAGGATCTGGCGCGTGTACGTGCGAATGAGCGCGTCCCACCCCTTCTCGCCCTCTTCTGTACACCCATCCCCTCCCCCTCCCCTCCCCCTCTTCTCCCCCACCCCATTGCACCCACCTGTGCATGGTGTTCTGCATGTGCAGGTACGCGAGCCCGTGCAGGATCTGGCGCGTGTACGTGCGAATGAGCGCGTCGCCAAAGCGCTCGTACTTCTTCAGCATGGACGCTAGCGACGCCTTGGCCAGGTCCAGAAAGATGTAGAGCGTTCCACTGCGGTGACACGTGCCCAGGTAGCGCACTATGTTGGGGTGCTGCAGACGACTCATCAGCTCCACCTCCTGGTGGTGTGTAGGGAGGCGGAGGGGGCAGTGGAGGGAAAGAGCGAGGCAGGGAGGGTGGAAGGACGCATGGGGGTGAATGCAAGACTATGTGACACGTGCCCAGGTAGCGCACTATGTTGGGGTGCTGCAGGCGACTCATCAGCTCCACCTCCTGGAGAAGTGTGCGGGCGGGGACGAGAATGGATGGCAGGTTAATGCTAGACCAGAGCATGTGATGAATGAGCATGGGCAGAACGAGAGGTACCACACGATATTAGGAGGAGTGGGGGGAGCAGGAGGGGAATTCAACGAGAGAGAATCGAAAGCTCTGCGCTTGCCCAGAAATTCCAGCCACAACATACGTAGCCTGGTTGATTCTTGAGTCGACTCAAAATCAACTCACAACATACGTAACCTGGAAAACCCCCCAGGAGGAGGATTTTCACATCAACCAGCCCGTTCCAGAGACATTGTGCCGCGAAGCCAGGACGTGATTCTTATTCCCTAACCCTGCCTCTGCTTCAGGGAGCTAAAAAGCACTAGACATCGACCGAGGTGTGACGTCTTGAATCGACCCAAAGGAGCTTTCAGAGAGCTAAACGCACTCAATACCTGTTTGTATATACCGAAGCGAAAAGCAACAACGGGTATGACAAGACAAGACAAGCCGAACCTGCTCTATCTCCTGCGCAAGGGCCGGATCCCCGTTCAGTGGGACCTCCTTCAATGCAAAGAAGCTCCCATCATCGCTGCCGCAAACAAGTTGTCCAGATTGGCCATAACAAGTTCCCGGGAAGGGGGGGCACAGGAACGGGGAATGGGAGGGCAGGGGGCACGGGAAAGGGGAATGAGGAGAAGGAGGGTGAATAAGGGCGGAGGGGTTGGGAAAGGGAGCCGAAGGGAGGGGGAAGGGAGGGCAAGGAAGGGACCCAGGACAGGTACTTATATGATACTTGAACGGCAGAGCATATATATTCCACAGGGCAGTATCGAGCTATGGCGAGCAGGCGAGTGAGCAAGAGCGAGCTTGGTTCTCAAATAAAGAAGCGCTCTACCATGAAGCTCACAAAATGCGCCCTTGATTTACACAAACCACCTTCGCACACACACACAAAAAAAAACTGTAAAGTTGCCAACCGGACCCGAAACCCTACCCTAGAGCCGCCTGCAAAAATCTCCTTCCTAAAGCGAAGAACACAAATCTAAAGCTGCCAGCCAGCTAAGAAACCAAAGTAGATATTCTTGCAGGCGGTTTCTCATGTGTCAAGGGCGACTCACAGGTTAAGCCCTTTATCCACTGCGCCATAGCTGACACACCCAAGCTCCTGAGTCGCTTTTGAGAATGAAAAGTCTCAAAGCTTCTCAGCAATGCGTCAGTCACATGCCATGCAATGCGACTCACAGGTTGAGCCCTTCATACACAGTGCCGTAGCTGCCGCGCCCAAGCTCCTGCCCCTTGGCCCATTTCACGGGGCATGACCTCGAATCCTTCTGTCCCCCACTTGAACCGCTTGCAACCCCTGACCCGGACGATCGCGCCAGTGACGCTGCTCCTGACCCCCCCGCTCCCCCTGCTCCCCCCGCTCCTCCCTGCGCGTCGGACGCTGCAGAGGCGCTACTGAGCGGAACGGAAGGGAGTGCAGACGGAACCGCGGGAGACGGGAGCGCGGAGGGTGAGGGGAGCGCGGAGGGGAGCGCGGAGGGGAGTGCGGAGGGGATGGCGGAGGGGGACGCGGCTGGCAGCGCCGCGGGCAGCGGCTGCGCGTGCTGCTGCGACGACTTAAGTAACGACGCCCCCGGCCCTGCGCCTAGCGCGACCAGAGTACTACTTAATCCTGACACGTCTGGTCCGCCTGGGCGGCTGGCTTGGGCCGGGAGCGAGGAGGAGGAGAGCAACGGCGGGGGGAGGGAAAGAGGTTGCGCTGTACGCACGCGGGAGCGGGATAAGACGGAACGGCTTCCCCCCTCGTCCGCTTTGGCGGCTTCCCCCCCAGTGGACAAGCCCCCCTGACTTCCCCCCGATTTCCCCCCGCCCGCGCTAATTGCGCTGCTGGTGGCACTAGCTGGGGGAGCGGCGGGGAGGGCAGTAGGGGGGGGTGGTGCGGGGAGAGTGGACGCGGTTGGGGGAGTGGGGAGGGCGTGCGCAGCTGCGGCGGCTGCAGCTGCGGCTGCACGTGCGTCGAACCCTAATGTGGCGATATCGGTGGAGCTACCCGTCGGCTTACGACGAAGAGAGGAGGATGAAGACGAGGAGGAGGAGGAAGAGGATGAGGATGAAGAGGGAGCGGAAGAGGTGGACGAGGAGGAAGATGACGAGGAAGAGGAGGAAGAGGAGGACGAGAAAGAGGAGGAAGAGGTGGATGAGGAAGAAGAGGAAGAAGAGGAGGAAGAGGAAGAAGAGGAAGAGGAAGAGGAGGAAGCGGAGGAAGAGGAGGAAGAGGAGGAGGAAGAGGAGGAGGCAGAGGAGGAGGACGAGGACAAAGAGATTGCTGAGGAGGAAACGGTGGGAGAGGAGGAGGATGAGGCGGAAGGAATGACTAACAAATCCGAGACTGACGGAATACTTGGAAGAGTCTTAGCGGCCAAGCTACCACTAGAACCGCCACTAACACCAGAGCCGACACTACTAGCCGAGGCTCCAACTGCGGCAGCCCCGCCAGAGGGGGAATCCGCGGCTTCAGGAAGCGGAACGGCGGAGAGAGGCCGAGGGGACAAGCGCGATTGGTCGATTTGGAACGGGACTGACTGCCGACCACTAGGCGATAAACTCTGCTGCTGCTGCTGTGCCTGCTGCGACTGCTGGTGGTGATGGTTGCTGTGAGAGTTCTGTCGGGATTCTAAAGCCCCCGCCCCACTGCTTGCGTCTACGGGCAGAGCCGCCGCCGCAGCCGAGGCGGCGGAGACTGTGGCGGCGGAGGATGAAGAAGCGCTTCGCTCCTTGATGCTACCCCCGGTGCCCGTGATAAACGACGCTAGCCGCAGCCCACGGGAGGAACTCACCGGCGCCTCATCCGACCGGCTACTTGACAGCGTCGGCGCCGTTAGCGGCCGCGGAGAGAGGTTCGACGGTCCGGTAAGGGAAGAAGCGGAGAGCGAGGATAGAGGAATGGCGGAGGACGAGACGGGCGCAGCGGAAGAGGCGGAGGAGGAAGTCGAAAGCCGCGTGCTTGGCGACGTTGATCCTGACGCAGGGGAACATGATCTTGGGGGGAGATTCGCCGCCGGATTTGCGACCGCAGGAGCAATCGCGGCGACGGCACCGGTGGAGGGTGAGGCTGGCGGAAGGCCGCTGGGCGGGGAGGAGGTGAAGAGCAGAGATGGGGAAGCGGAGGTGGAGGATGGGGCGGAAACGGACGTTGCTGCGGAAGTCGGGAAGGGGAGGGTGGCGGAGGAAGGGGACGCGGGAGGATGGCGGGACGGGGAGGCAGATGCGGAGAGGCGATTTGCGAACGGCAGGACGAGCGGGGCGGGAACCGATCTACCTAACACTCCTCCGCCTCTGGACCGGCGGGAATCTCCGGAAGTGGCGGAACCCGAAGAGCCCCGCGATTTTTCCCCGTGAGGTGTCCGCTTAGGGCTGCTATTTACCGCGCCCTCGCCGGTAACGCCGTCCAATAAGCGTCCTCCCACCAGCTTCATTGCCGGAGCAATTAAACTGCTGCCGGCTCCGCTCACGCCGGCGCCGGAAGAGGGACGGCCGGCCGCGGAGCCGCCAGCAGCTCCCGTGGAAGCGGTCGGCACGCCGCCTTCGGGGCTGGATGGAGACCTGACGCCGTCTCGTTTCGTCCATGGAAGGAACCGCGCAACGCGACTTGATACTCCTCCGCCGCCGCCGCTGCCGCTTTCAGATGATATGCCGGACATTGCGGGGATTAAGTCGGATGTGCGGGGCGAGGGCGATGGTAGTGCGGAAGCAGGGTGGCGGGCGAGACTTCGCAAGGCCCTTCGACGTGGTTCCGGGTAAGTATAAATTTGAGAGTCGGGAGGGCTATAAGAGCGTGTCAACGGAACAACTGGTTCAAAATGAGAAGATCCAGAAACGCGGGGGCTTGACGGAAACTAAAGGGGGGTGGAATAGATAATCATACGTGGGAGAGCAAGAACTTTAAGATCGAGCCGCGCGTGCGACATGGTTTGCATGAATGCCTACGCGAAGCTCGAATCTCCGAAATCTAAAAACGACGGAGTAAGATCGAATAACATGCGCACGCGAACACAAAAACATAAGTGCACAAACACAAGCACCAGCCTTCGCTATTGCTGACCACACCCACTGAGGTCCATCCAGCAGGACAAGCAGGAACAATTTAGGGTTAACGGATCACTGGCTCCGTAGTGGACTTGGGTACTACGCCCGTCCACTAAAATATTGGGTACTCTCATCGACAGGTGAAGTGTCAAGGCTGTTGATTTTCCTCAGGGTAAGGCGAGGTGATGCACCAGCTGCACACATCTCACCCACATGTTTCGTGCTGTATTTGGACTGCAGCCTTTGTCGTCTCCCCACCCCACCCTACCCACCCCTCCACCCCACCCCCCCACCACCACGCTTGAAGTTGGTTTCTCTTCCCTTGGTTCTGGTTTGTCTGCGAGTTTGCGACCACGCCTTGAACGTGGTGAGGGGACAGGTCGGGAAAAGAAAGGGGGAACAAAGAGAACGACGGGGGGAAGGGGGGGGGAGGTTGGGGAAGTGGGGACAGGGTCACTTCAGGCTTCTGTCCAAACCAAACCAGACCAGGTCTGGTGCAAGTGGGGGGCAAATGTGGCAGGTTGTATGAGCTGCAGTGGAGGGTCTGTACAGACACCTCCTGCCGCATCAACCTCCCCGCTACTGCCACCAGCACCTCTTCCATTCCATCCCCACTTCCCCCCTCCCTTCTCCCCTCACCCAACCTTCCCCTTCATCGGACATATCGAGGACCTTCGTTTGGCTCCTACTCGAGGGAAACGACAGCTGATTTGTCAAAGACTGTGATGTTACAGGGTGTTTTACTGTTTCTGAACTAGCCCTCTTAACGCATCAATCACACTAGAAAATCATAAGTATTGCAGAACTGGGACGTCTTGGGGGGAGAGTTCCTGAAGATGGCGAAAAGCTTCTCGGAATCGGCCTCGCTTCCTGCCAGCATCAAAGAAGCGGTTACCATTTTGCTTTATAAAAAAGGAGACAAAGATAAGCTGGATAACTAACGCCCAATCACCTTACTCAACTTCACCTGCAAGGTTTTGGCGAGAGTAGTGGCGAATAGGATGAAGCAGTGGCTCCACTTAGTGATAACGGAGGAGCAGTACGGGTTTATAACTGGGAGGAGGATATCTGACGAGATTGGCGTGGTGGCAGACATTGTTGAAGCAGCGAAAAATGGGAATGGAGATTGGTATATGCTCCTGGTGGACTTCTGCAAGGCATTCGACTCGGTGTCCCGGAGCTTCCTTTTCTTGGTCCTGAGAGGTATGGGTTTCCTGAAGAGGTTCGTAGGCTGGGTGGAGGGCCTGCACAAAGATACAAGGACAAGGCTATTAGTCAACGGCTGGCTGGGAGAGGCGGTGGAAGTAAGGTCAGGTGTGAGGCAGGGGTGTCCGCTTGCTCCATACCTCTTTCTCTGTGCGGTGGGGCCGCTTGCGCAAGAAGCGTGTAAACGGAAGCTGGGCAGCGGCTAGTCTACCTGGGCTACGCGGATAACACAACGCTGTTTTTGAAAGGGAAATGGCAGATCGCCAGAGCATAAAAACTACTAGTCAATTTGCAGAGATCTGAGGTCTGGTCATCAACAGAGAAAATTCAGTTGTCATGCCGCTGGGACACAATCTTGGAAGGAAATCTGGGACATTGGGGGGCTTCATTGGGCAAAGGCGAATGAAGCTGAACGCCTTCTGGGGGTCTGGATTACCCCTTCCGGCAGCAGCGAACCGACCTGGTTAAGGGCCTTCAAAAAAATTACAGTGGAGTTGATCAAGTGGAAAACGCTCTTCCTCACGATTGCGGCAAGGGTGGTAATCATAAACTGCTACATCACACCCAAGGTAGCTTACTAGACTCAGGTTTACCCTCCACCGGAAGAAATCAGGAAGAAGTTGATGAAGCTAATTCATAATTTCCTGTCGGTAAATAACGCGTCGGCGGATGGAGGTTTCGTGCTGTGGAGCTTGGATCTCCTCTCTACTCCGCGAGGTGATGGGGGGCTTGGAGTGTTAGACCCGGAGGTCCTCATGGCCTGTCTTGCGACTAGGAGAATCGCTGGGCTTCTAACGGAGGGGAACGGCAAGAAAAAAGAAATAATGCTTAAAGCGGCGGGGCTCCCGATGGGGGAAGATACTTTCACGGCGCACGAAAAGGTGTTAAAGCACTGGCCGGGACACGGTGGGCGGTGGAAGCAGACCCGCGAAGCATTCCTAAAATCGCCTCTTGCGGATACAGCGAAAGTTAGTAGCAAGGAGGAGGTGGCGCAGGAAATAATTATTTTCAACAGGAACGTGCTGCTGAACGGTACAAACCCAGTGGGTGGGCAGAAGGAGGCAAAAGGACTCTGAGAAACCCGCATGAGGGACCTGGTATGAGAAGACTGAAACGAGAATGATTGACTAAGGAACGAAAGTGATACAAATATGCAACCCTAGAAATGTGTACCCCATATAGGCTACCCCACTATAGCCTACACAGCATTATAATTTGACACACCCCCATAGGCAAAGTGGGGGAGAAGAAGGGGTCACAAGACCAGTCAAGCAAAACAAAGCAAAGCTCAGGGTGGATCACAAAGTCACCACACATTCCGAGCACAAGTTCAAGGCCATAACGCCAGTTCAGATGGAGGAACACATATATATATATAACAGGCTAAACAAGCAAGAGCAGCAGTATATATATATGTCACAGTACAAGCAAGGTCAAGAAGTGAGTAAGTGAGGCAAGACAAGTACAAGACCAAGCTGAGTATAGAAGCGCTGATGATTACAAGGCGCAAGTGCCTTACTGAAGATATCAGCAGTGTTGGCCTCAGAGGCCACGTACGCAAGTTGCAACTGACCACGCTGTTGCAGCTCACGAGCAAGAAAGTAGCGAAGAGCAATGTGCTTCGTTCTGTGCTCCACTCGCTGCTCCCGACACAAGGCCAGCATGGCCTTGTTGTCTACGTACAGCACTGGAGGAGAACGAGGCGGCTCTCTGAGGTCAGTCAGCAGGTAGGTGAGCCAGCAAAGCTCCTGAGCAGCCATGGCTCCGGCGTAGATCTCAGCCTCACAACTGGAGCCGAGAACAGAAGACGAGCGAGTAGCCCGCCACGAAACAGAGCCGGAACCAAGGCTGAAGGTGTAACCCTGTGACGACCGCTGTGTAGCCTGGTCGTCAGCCCAAGAAGCGTCTGCGTGCCCAGTGAGGACCACTGGACTCCGCCCTCCAAGCACTAGCCCCATGCCCGACGTACTGCACAAGTAGCGCAACACCCTCTTCGCTGCAGCCATGTGCTCTGGTCTGTGTCTCCCAGGAGCAACATAGCGTGCAAGAATGCTAAGAGGGTATGCAAGGTCAGGTCGTGTGCAGGTCATCAGGTACATGAGGCAGCCAACAAGCTCTGGGTACGGGCCACTCGACTCTACGGACTCATCCGAAGGCAGAGCAGAGAGCGAGTGGCGAGTAGGCAGAGGAGTGGCCTGAGGCGAGGAGTACGTGAAGCTGAAGCGCTAAAGGACCTGCTGCACCATGTGTGACTGAGTCAGGGTAATGGTGCGGCGTGCTCTGTCCCGGGTGATCTGCAAGCCAAGGTAGCTGCGCAGTTCACCCAGGTCAGTGCACGTGTGTCTCTTCTGCAGCTCGGACTTCAAGTGGGCGAGTCCACCAGTGTCAGCAGTGGCAAAGACCAAGTCGTCGACGTACACGAGGATGTAGAACGACGGCAGAGAGGTAACACAACGCTGTTTTTGAGTGAAGCTCGTAGTCACGCTGAGCGGCTATGTGTAGCAGCACCCGAAGAGTGGTCATCTTCGGGGTGGGAGAGAAGGTCTGAAAGTAGTCAACTCCCTGCCGCTGACTGAAGCCACGAGCCACGTACCGCACCTTGAAGACAGGTGGAGAACCTGGCGGCCGCTTCACCCTGAAGATCCACATGCCACTGACGATGTTCGCCCCAGGAGGGGGAACTGCTTCAACGTAGGTGCCTGTGGACTTCCAGGACCCCATCTCTGCATCCATAGCTACCTGCCACTGAGAGGAGTAGGGACCCTCTACGGCCTCTGCGTAAGAGCGCCGAGTCGGGATGTCAAGTGCATCCGGGTCTCCCTCACGGGTAAGCAATATGGACACGAGATGAGGTGAAGCAGCAGCCAGACACTGGAACTCCTCCTGCCTGTCCTCAAGGACGTCCGTGCCAAGAGCACACTCACCCCCGACGGACGGAGGACAGACAGACGCAGACTCAGCAACAAGACTAGCAGCGTAGTCTAGACGACAGCGAGCAGCAAAGTCGACAAGCTCAGCAACAAGAGCAGACGCAGCAGTGGACTTAAAGGAGGGGTCAGTGACGACAGTAGCAAGGAGACGCGTGATAGTAGGACTGGCAGCACGAAGAGAGTCCGACTTCGGGTCGGCAAGTGCAGGAAGAGAGGACTCAGGAGGAGAAGGCAAAGGGGCACGCAGAGGAGCAGTGGACGGACGCAGAGACATCCTGTGCGTGCCAGGGACAGGAGGAAGACGCTGATGCGAACCGCGACCACTAGTGCGAGCAGCACGAACAGGCGACGCAGGACGAGACGCAGGCTCACGACGCTCAGCAAGACCTCAAGAAGGACCAGTGTAGGGAGAAGGAGCAGGCAGTGGGGAGGCCGGCGGAAGCTGGGACTGGGATTGGACAGGCGGTGGACACTCTAAG